TGCAGCTCAGCAACGGGAGACCTCGATGGGAGACAGCGTCAGGACACTGCGATCATTGGAGTAGAAGTTGTCCGCGTCGGTCCAAGCCCTGAAACGAGGCAGCAGTACCTGAGGGTTAGGGCGGCCACGCCGTGGGGGGGTAAGCGAAATAAGGGGCGGGCCAACGGCTGCCAAATCGCTTTCTTTGATTTTGGAACCCCGCGCAAGCAGGGTGGAGGAGGAGCGATGAAAAAAGTGCAATGGGATTTGGAAATAGGATTGGGGGCGGGGTTGAGCAGTGAACCCTCATTCCAAATGGACGCACCGACGGACTTCCTGATGTCAGGCGGACCGAAATCGACAGCTCAGTCGAAATAAACGCATGCGAGAATTTTACAAGGTACACTTGAGTCGCGTCAGTGGCCTTCAGGCGGCGACGGCAAACAATTTTCAATGTCCTTTTCCTATTGGGTTATATTGACATACCCTTTTGAACTGTGTGCGACGGTGACGTGACATTTGCAAAGGGCCAAGAGGTGAGACGCAAATTCGTGCGTCGTCTCTTCCAGCTTTGTCGCCTGGAGTCAAGTCAGCTGTTGGCGGCCTTTTTTTGTTGGGGCGCTGACTGCATCTAGATGTATCTTAATAAATTAAAATGACATTTAATTTGGGCCACAAGGTTAGTTAAAAAGGAGGAAAGGTGGGCAGAGTGAGAAGGGAGGGTGTCAGAAAAAGACGTTCTATTTCTGTACTGGAGAGCTTTTCGCTATAAATACAAATTAATTATGAAAAGAAGAACACAATTTCTCCTGCAAAGACTGTAGTGAATAAAAACAATTCAATTTTAGAGGCAAAAACTATTAATGATCCTCAAGTAAGTGAAAAATAGTCACCTAACTAGTTTTGGGGGTTCCGAATGTGGAGATGGGATTCGGCTGCAGAGCCGGATCTAGTCTGTGAGAGAGAGGGCTGTTGGCCACCCCAAAAAAATCCTCAACGAATGGCCTTCACACCTTTAACAGAAAGCTGATGAACAATCCAAACAATCTCAAATGTTTTTCTTGACTGGCTTGAGTGCATTTCATAAAGGTGACGAATTTTCAAGTGGCCCTTTCATCCTTCCATTTTTTATTTTTATTTTTTTGTCGGCAACCCTGAAAACGAAAAAGTTTGGACCCCCCTCGGTCCAGAGCACGCGAAGCCTGCATTCTGTTCACCTTTCAAGTTGCCGCTTAGGCTGATGACTAAGTTTGAAGAATCCACTCCAACGCAAAGGGGAGGGGAGGGGGGGGGAATCTTTTGTCGCCGAAGGAATTAGACGATGTACTTGCCGCTAATATAAAATGATGGCCCAAAGAGATTATCTCATTGAAATGGCACACGAACCATTTTCGCAATAATTGAAGTTTTCCAGGGTTAATGAGATTATTACTTAGGACACGGGCTGGCGTAATTAGGAAGCGCGTCTACAATTGTAATTATGTGCACACGCTGAAGGGAGCCCGACGACGAGCTCCGTGTCAAATGGGTGCGATCTGCTCGAGGAGCACCGGCTGTGGAGTTTTGTGGGTTTTTTTGTCCCGCAGTGCACCTTTTCTCGTGCGCTCACACAATCTGCAAAGGACTCACCAAAAGAACACGGACACGAGTGTCTCTCCATCTAACCCGGGCGGTGTCCAAACTTTTTCGTTGGAGGGCCGCATAGAGAAAATTGGAGGGATGAAAGGGCCACTTTGCAATTCTTCAACTTTTTCAAGAAAGCAATCGGGTCTTGTTTGTATTGTCTAGCTCTTTTCATCGGCTTTCTGTACAAGGCGTTCAGGAAAATAGTAAAGAAAACAGCTTAGCTAGTAACGCCTAACAGCCTGTACACTAATGACAGGCCGGCACATGGAAAAAAGTTACATCGGGACTAAGAGTGAGCCCTGTTGCATGCCTGTCTATCGCGACGGCTCTCTCGGTTGTCGTGAGCGGCCAGGCCGGCCGCAGGTTTACATCACAGCTGAGGGCCTTGACCTGGGGCGCTGATAAAGACTTTTTCGGGGCGCGGCGTGCCGTGAGGGAGAGAAAGGGAAGAGAAAAAGGAGACCTCATTAGCCACGCAAACAAAGCCAGCGTCATACTCAAAAGTGAAGCCATGTTGGCAAATGGTGCAGGGAAAAGGTCAACATTCAAAGCATGCCACCAAATGGGACGGAAACGTCCAAATAAAAGAAACGCAAATTTGGAAGCTAGACATGACAAGAAAACCTGTTTTTGGGGGGCCAGGTTTTGTTGTTGGCATTCAAAAGGAGCAAATCAAACATGCGATCGGCCTCGCGTGCTAAGTCCACTCGTCCACTGTAATGGGCAGCCTCGGATCCGGCATCTCTCCTACTGGCGTGAGTCCACGCGTGGCATTGGAATGCGAGTGCACAGAGATTGTTCTGACCAAGATGAGCCTCCAGAAGCTCAGCGCCATCAAACATGCGATTGGCCTCGCGTGCTAAGTCACTCGTCCACTGTGATGGGCAGCCTCGGATCCGGCATCTCTCCTACTGGCGTGAGTCCACGCGTGGCATTGGAATGCGAGTGCACAGAGATTGTTCTGACCAAGATGAGCCTCCAGAAGCTCAGCGCAGGTCAACTAGTCATCGCTGCGACGCGTCACTCACAATCCAATCCACATCAGAAACCAACGACAGTGTCGGCCAAGGCCAGCGGCTCATTCATAGGAGGCACTTTTTTTTTTTTTTTGCATCCACAACCATAAAATGTACAGTTGAGGAAAGTTGCTGCATCCACAAATTGCTTTGTCCATAATCAAGAGACGGCCCCCCAAGAGAGTGCAAATCTTTTCCCACTCTGTACACTGAAATGACCTCCTTGGAGAGTAAACCCGCCAAGGTCAACCCTGATTTTGCCCCGGGCTCGTTTGGGGTTGCGTTTCAAAGAACCGCGCCCCATTTGACCGCGAGCAAGAAAATCCCCCGTGCTAAATCCCTTCGCGGACAAATCTGTACTATTTTTGTGACGCGGCGATAGTTGAACATCTGCAGAGCACAAACTGCAGCAAAGCAACAAATGTGTCGTTGAAATTACAATTTAGTTGAAGTGGTCTTGACCTGCTAATGGTGGACTGACTACAGTCGTCTTCATCATTGACATTGATCGATTCCGTTAGCGCTAATTCGCCGTGTCATTTGATTGATCCGTGAGACGGCAATCGATCATCAAGTGTAGATGTGGTGGGTTTGCAGATCACTTCTATAACTTCAATAAAAAAAATAGTCAAAAGTCAAAGTAGACAATGTATCATTCAAGGCTGAACATGCGCTAGAATACAAGCAGCAAGGTCAGGTGGTTCAAGGAAAACATGACGGAAAGATGTCAGCATGCCGAGCACATTCTCTGTAGAATGGCGGATGGGAGGAGGACGGGCGCGGGAAACTTGTGGCCAAGTTGAGGGTCGAGCTGGGGGGGCCGACGGTGGAGGTGGACGAGGGCTTTCGGAGCCGCAACGGTTGCGGATGCGAGGATACATCAAAAGGTGGGGGTGGGGATGACAAAAATGAGGCGACGCCGAGGGCGCCATCCCGACGGGCGCCGAGGAAAGGGG